GCATTATCGTGGAGTTAGTGCAGCGCACGGCAATGGAGGAGTCATGAAACCAATAGATACGCTTTACAAACCACAGTGAATCATTTGAGGCCCAATAGTCGTCTAAGGAGATGGAAACCAATAACATGAGATGAAATGAGAAAGTTCTTGGGTGTTTATTTACTCGCGGGAGTAATAAATTGTCCAATGCTCGAAAACTACTGGAAAAAGAACAAATTATGCTATCATCCACTTCTTCACGAGAAATATATGTCCTGCAATAAATTCGCACTGATGCTAAAGTGCTGGCACTTTATAAATAACGAAGCACCACGTAATGAAAGCGACCGTTTTTATAAAATACATCGACAAACTAACAAAAAACTGGCGAAAAATATTTACCTCTGGAGAATGTATAGTAGCCAACGCGAGTCGATGGTTGGTTTTAAGGGAAGAATTCCTTTTAAAGAAAGAAGAAGAAAGAAAGAAAAAAAAAAATCAGAAATCACATAAGTACGGCATAAACATTTATTTATAGAGGTAGTAAATTATGTACTGACAGTGGTTACACCTGGAGTTACCGCGTTTATTCTGGTCAAGACAACCAAATTGCTTCGGATTAGATAAACCTTAAAGAAGGAAGGATCATGATAACGGACAATTACTATACTAGCATACCTTTAGCAAGGTACCTAAAAGAACAAGATACTGATTTGTGTGGAACAATACGCATAAACCGTCGAGAACTGCCCCGAGAAGTGGTTCAACAACGTTTAGAAAAAGGCCAAATTTCTGTACAGCAGAACAACTTTGCGACCATCCTAAAATGGCATGATAAACGGGATGTGCTTATGTTGTCGACATGTCACGACCACGAAATGCGAATGTCAACCGGTTTCCGAACAGTTTTGGAGCCTACAATGGTGCTGAACTACAATGAAGGGAAGAAAGGCATAAACTTGGCTGATCAGCTAACAAGTTACAATTCGCCGGCGAGGAAAACCTATGTTTGGTATAAGAAAATTGCTGCGGACCTTGTTTTAATAAGTGTAGTGAATGCCATTCTGATTTATAATGAATTACACCCACAGTCAAAAATGAAGGTTCTGGATGATCATCAAATCATCATAAATAAATTACTAATGGTGGCAAACGAGAACTTTTCAAGTTCCAGCTCTGCTAGTTCTTTGCGTCATTCAATTTCAAAACATTTCAAAACTTTTATTGTTTTCAACAATAAATATTTTAAGATGTAAGAAAGAGCATAAAATAAAATTATTCAACACCAAAATTATGTTATTAACAACAAAAGCTAGAAAGAAACCGCAACTTTTGTCACGATTTTAGGTTTTTGTTAATTTTGGTGTTGAATAATTTTATTTTATGCTCTTTCTTACATCTTAAAATATTAAGTAAAAACGCGGGTTACTCACGTGAATATACTGAGAAAAGCTCTACTAGTTTCGAACCACAGAGGGGTTCTTCCTCATGAGCAGCGTGCGCGGTCGCGGCGACGTCGCGCAGCTCACTGGCTGGCGTTGGCGCTCGCCTCGGTGTTGCCACCTGCGCTGCGAGCCCAACGCGCCCTCTGTCGGACACTACGAGCGTTTGCTTCCAACTCCGGCAGCGCGTTGGACGAAGCTAAAGCGCACGGTACGTTCACCAGCGGCGCGGGTCGTGGGTTCGATTCCGGGTTCGGCACAAAGTCAGTGTTGCATATAACGCTTACTGTGTCACACTCCAGACTGGAGACGCTGTGGATCGACGAAGACTCCAAGCTCGGCTTCCACGCGGGTGGCAGTGCCCAGCCACCATCCCTGTTGAAGCACGGTCGTCGGCTGATCTCGATGGCCTCTCGCACTTTTCGCGGAACGAAGTATTTTTCTCTCGCTAGTACGGAGACCTTATCAAAACGTATGAAGTGAGCCGCGTCCGTACCACAAACATGTTCAGCCACTGCCGATGCCTGGATGTCCATCTTCTTCACGCTGCGTATATGTTCCTTTAGCCTGGTTGTGATGTTGCGACGAGTTTCCCCGATGTAACTCGAGCCACAGTCGCACGGTATTATGTACACTCCGGGTACAGCCAGTGGATCCTTATCTTTAGGTGAGCGTAGTAGTTGTCTTAGCTGACCGGGTGGGCGGAAGATCGTCCTGATGCAGTATTTACGGCGAAGCAGGTGTCCGATTCTGTCGGTTACTCCTTTCACGTATGGTAAGAACGCTGGAGTCCGTTCCGCAACTGCCGGTCGCTTCCTACTCGAGCTGCTCGCAAGTCGAGTACATTGACGCCAGTTGTATCCATTGTTTTCCAGTACCCGTTTTAAGTGGTGAAATTCGTCGTCAATATACTGGGGATCGCATAGACTCAGCGCCCGGTTTATCAAGGTCCGGGGAACAGCGGCTAGATGGGAGGGATGATGGTGTGAGTCAGCTCGCAAGTACCGGTCCGTGTGTGTCGGTTTACGATACACTGTGTGTGACAATCGACCATTTTCTTCTCGTCTTACGAGGACATCCAAGAACGGCAACATCCCTTCTCTCTCTTCTTCAGTGGTGAATTGTATACTGCCGTGCACTGAGTTCAAGTGTCCCACAAATTCAGCCACATGTTCCCGGTTGACGATCGCGAACACGTCATCAACATACCTCCACCACGTCTGCGCCCTCAAAATCCAACGCCACCTAAGATATACGGGTTGCCCAAAATCCACAAGCCAAACTGGCCCCTAAGACCAATAGTTAGTCAAACGGCACGGCAGTATACATCACGAAACGAAATCAATTGTTTTCTGTATTAATAACAATTATATTAAATGTAATATATAAATAATATTTATATATTAAATATTTATTAAATATCCCGAAACTGGAACCGGAACTTTCCCGAAAAAAATGTTGTAGTAAGGAAGTTTCCACTTTTTGTTTTTGTTCCTTGAAGTTTAGGTAAATTAGCTCACGTTTTTCCGATAACTGCTTATAACCAAAGAAAAATTATTAAAAAAGGAAGCAATGTTTTCCTTATTTATGCGAAAAAATTTAGAGGATGATTATGAAGAAGTTGATCTGAAAAAACGGCAACGTGGAAGACAACCCTTCATTTCCATAGATATGATGAATTTGCTTTGACCAAATGGTAAACCTATAGCAGCTGCGAAATTGAGCAATATGAAAAGCCTTATGCATTTGATTCCACGTGATGCTCAAACATTCTACAAAAATCTGAGAGGCGACAATAATGTAGAAGACGACATTGATGGGTTTGGTGCTGAATCTGATTTTGAGATAGAATATGAAGCTAAAGAAACCGATGCTACATAAATAAGTTGGAATACCAACAAGTGATTGCCGATTCGTTATTTTATTATATTTAAATTACCTCAAATTTGTATTATTTTTTTGTCAATAAACTGTTCTTATATTAGTGCAAATATTAATTTCCTTCTTCTAAAGTGAACCACACATTAAACTGATCTCTTCGTAGAAAAATACAATATACATTGCTTTCAAAATAATGTATATCGTCAGCTTAGATTGAAGACATCTCCACTTTTGGTCGAAAATGACTTGTAGGTATCATTTGATCATCAAAAATACAGAGCTGACTACAATAAATAAGATGTATACTGCTTATCTCCAGCACTTTATTTTGTAACGGTCAAACTTCCTAACTCCCTCCATTTCAGTACACCACACGATGCGGTAAGGAGCACGCGTCTTTTTTCCGTTTTTAATGTGTTAAACACGTCGATACCGGCAGATAGTATGTTTATTATTCAGTGTTTATTTTACCTGCGTTCATAGCAGCTTTGTGATAAATTAGTATCTAAAATCCGAATAAAAGCAGGAACTAAGGCTTTGACAATTTCGCAGTGGAGTTAAGCATTATGAAAACATAACATTTGGGCTTAAACACTTTTGATATATTCAAATTTCGAGAAGTAGCATTGACTACAGTACTTTCATTACGCTCATCGAATACTTGTCCAATCGCGGCATTTTGGCTTTAGGAACTGTAAGAAAAAACCGGATACCCAATTGCAAACTGCCAGACGAAAAAAAAATTTAAAAAAGAACCACGCGGTACGTCAATTGAACAAGTCTGTAACTATAATGGCGTTGATGTGGCTGTAGTAGCTTGGAGAGACAATAAAATTGTCACTCTAGCTTCCAATTTTGCTGGAAAACAGCACCCAACATCTGTTGTAAGAAGGTGGGACAAGTCCAAAAAACAATACATTTCTGTTGAACGTCCTTTTGTCGTAGGAGAATATAACCGACATATCGCACCCCCAGATCAGCAAAGACGTAAGTGCACATACGTCAATATTTTTTGATTGCTGTTTTGGATAGTTTAAGTAAAGATACATGCGCTCAATTTTCCGTTCAATTTGGACTTAAAATGAAGGGTATTTTTTTCAAATAATTAAGTCGATAAACCAACATAAGCACGTTAAATTTCATTAAAATAAACCTAATCATGCTTTGGTTTTTGTTCCATCAAATAAAATAAAAACGTATAATTAATATCTCGTATTATGCTTTTTAATGCCTCATAAAAAAACGATTTTCTTAAAATAATACCGATTACATCCCATCACAAATAAACATAATCAAACAAAAAAAGCCGTATTTCTATGTTCACGGGTGCACTCGCACACAATTTCGAAATAATCATGCTTACACCTTTACTTATATTACGGATTGGGTTTTTTAGGCCGAGACTCCACCAAAGCTGAGACAAGCGGAGATATGTTTGAATAACCTATCAGATTTATACCGAAGATATGGATTTATGATTTGTTATTATAACACATCTTCGGTCGTCTTAGCTTTGGCGGAGTCCTGGCCTAAAACGTACAAACTCTTCGGCTTTATAATGTAGATAGGTACCTACTCGTCGGACCGTAGGCATGTCGCACCGCTTAGGCTTCGTTCACACGGCATTGTCCTGCACGTTTTTTTGCAGTATACATCTTAACGTATAAATTAGCGATGTAACGATACCGATACCGATATAATCGGTAGGCCGATATATCGGCATCGCCGATACAACACGGCCGATATCAACCAGTTCGAAAAGCGCGCGAAACGAACGACGCGTGCGACGTTGCCGCTCTTAGCGTCGCCTCGCGTCATCTCAACGGTCGCTTGGGCCGGCCAACACACTGTCCTTCGGCCCGGCCCCACCCAGTGCTTGCTAAGCTTTGGTTGAGACATGTCGTGTTTCTGTTTACGTTACGTCGCCGCTTTTATTTCGTGATTAATTTTGTTTAATTATTAACACTGACTAGTGAGGACTGTTATAGTATTTATTGTATATACAAGAAAATGGCAACGCCATTAAAACGTACAAGTTCCATCTGGAACCATTTTCAAATAAAACAGGATGATGATACAAAAGCAACTTGTTTATACTGCAATGTCAGCGTTTCTCGTGGTAGTAAGGCAGTTTCATCGAAGGGCTTTACGACATCTAACATGTGGACACACGTGAAGCGTTATCATGAAAAGGAGTTGAAAAATGACACCCCATCTACCTCGACCGCTGAGGCCGGTCCGCCACTCAAAAAACAAGCTACTTTGGAACACATTCTGGACAAAAATGTTATGTATGATACTGATGACCCCAGAGCAAAAGCGATCACGCAAACGATAGCTGAACAAATATGTGTAGATATGGAGCCGTTCGATATAGTAAATAAACAGGGGTTTCAACGCACCATTAAGCAGTTGTGCCCGAAATACAAAATGGTTTGCCGTCCACATATCTCTGAAAATGTGATACCAGACATGTACTGTCGTGTGAAATCGAAATTAAAAGAACTTTTGCAAGATATTCCGCACATAATTGTTACGACTGACTTATGGACTAGCGACGCTTCTGCGTTTGTAAACGACTTTATAAGTCTGACTGCTCATGGAGTGAATACAGTTATATGAAGGCTAGTTATATCCAGGCTTACAGTTATATGAAGACGAAGAACTGTATGGAATTCTAACCGGGAATAACGAAGAACTCTTAAATGAGTTAAGCGATGCAAGTGCGAACGAGGATGCAAACATTGTCGATTCTCACGCCAATGAACAGAACGAAGATCCAGAGGAAGAGTCTTTAGAAGAAACAACTGGCTGGTTTCCGGGTAATCCCAGTCAGATGTTACAGATACCATTTACGGGGACAAGTAGTATATTGCAGCCACATGACGCAGAGGTCCAAAGTCCTTTGGATTATTATTTTTTATTTATGAATGCCCGCTTTTTAAATTTAATATTAAAATGTACAAACAAGTACGGTAACAAATTGAAAGTAGAAGCGACAACTGCACGTTCTCGCTTTAGCAAGTGGACCGATCTAAGTGTCGCCGAATTAAAAACTTTTATTGGCATAATATTACTAACGGGCACCATAAAGCTGAACAGAATGGTGGACTATTGGTCCACTCATTATTTTTTCCGTCTTAGTCCACGCCTATTTATGTCTAGGGATAGGTTTTTTTTAATTTTAAGAGCTTTGAACGTACAAGATATCGAAAGGACGGAGAGTATATTTAAAATAAAATCTTTGATAGATTTGTTCAATGAGACAGTTGACGCCGTATATTACCCATTGAGAGAGTTGACAATTGACGAATCTCTTATTTTGTGGAAAGGGAGACTATATTTTCGTCAATATATCAAAGGCAAAGCCCATAGATACGGCATTAAGCTGTACATTTTAGCCGACGCCAACGGTATAATTTTAAAAATTCACATGTATGCAGGATCCCAAGACGTACAAGTAGGAGGTAGAAACCACGTTAAAAAAGTGGTGCATCTGCTCATGCAAAAATATTTTGACAAAGGGCATGCTTTGTATTTGGACAATTTTTATACCAGCGTAGGGTTGGCTGATGAGTTAATAGGCAAAAACACGTATGTGACTGGTACCCTAAGACCAAACCGTATAGGAAATCCAAGAGAATTAAAAATGTGCAAATTAAAGCCTGGTGAATCGTGTATATTACAAAACAATAAAAAAATTGTCGTCACCAAATGGCAAGATAAACGGGAAGTATTATTTATAAGTACTGAACACAAAAGTAATTATAAAGGGACTACTAGTCGCCGTGTACGCACAATAAAATATAAGCCGGCCGTACAAATAAAGTATAATAAATATATGCGGGCAATAGATCGACATGATCAGATGCTAAGCTATTATTGCTGTGAGCACAAGACCCTGTGCTGGTACAAAAAAGTCATAATACACATAATCCAAATATGTTTGGTGAATGGTTATTTACTTTTCAACGCAAAAAACACTACAAATAAAACTTCATTATATAAATTTATAAAGAGTGTAATGCAAGAATTGTTACCAATGCCCAATGTACCAGAACTTTCTCGTCCTCTATCACAGTCAAAAATACATTTACCCGCCAATTTACCAAAGAGAAGTAATAATACCCTAAGAAAAAGATGCAGAGTTTGTTACACAAAAACTAAAAAAAGGGTATCTGTTATAACTGGCTGTCCCGATTGCCCTGGATTCCCAGGCCTGTGCCTTAATGATTGTTTCAGAGAATTTCACAAATATTGAAATTCTATGTTAGTTAATCGGATCTGATGTAATGATTTTTAATAAATATTATCATCTAAGTCAAAATTTGGTTAAAATTTGGTTTTATTTAACTTTTGTTCGGTCTTTATTTGATATTAAAATTACTTTTTTATTATATCTAATATTTTCTGCATCTTTATATTTCTTTCATATGGTTTAAAGCGCAATAATTCATTTGAAACCAACTGGCCAAAATGTTTACATCCATGGACGTCCAATACAGTCGGGCCATCATCTCATTCTGTGCATGTTGCACTGTCCACCATTTCTTTTTTTGTGTACGTTGAAGTATCAGTACCAAAAAACATGTAAGGTTTTTTGGTTTGGTATAAATTCCTGTTCCCAGTTTTCTGAGTCTTCCCAGCGTTGTGAATTCTGTACTATCTCTTCGTCATCGTCGCATTGAGTTTCATTTTCTGTATCGGAATGTACTTTCTTTTTCGCTGTAATTCTTAAACAATAAATAAACATTATCAGTATCTTGCCAAATATTATTTTTTTCTGACAATAATAATTTTCACATTTGTTGTGTATCCGTGAGAATGTTTGGATGTTTTTGTTTTTTCACACAAAAACTACTGAATGGATTTCAATGAAATTTAGCACAGGTGATAAGTCTTGGTCTGGAATAGCACATAGGCTACCTTTTATTCCGATTATAGGTTCCTGTGGGACAACGGGAAACAAATTCTACGCGGGTGGAACCGCGGGCATCGGCTAGTATCAAATAGTCATATAAAATAATTATATATTAGTACTACTATCATTATTATTACTATTTAATCTAACTTAGCAGTTTTTATTTGCGTAGTTTAATTATAAACAATTGAAATTTGTTATGCAAAAATTTTTAGACCCAATTTAATACCTCATAATCAATCAAATTACTAGGAAATGCAAAATAAGTTGAAAAGGTTGAGCACATCTGTATTAAATAAGTCACTTACCTTCCATTTCCACAAATACACTTGGTTCGCCACTTTTTATCGCTTAAAACAACGTGCCTGACCGTTCACGTTAGATTTCACATGTAAACTAAAAGTATTCGAGCTTTGAATACGTAAAAAAATGTCAAAACACTGTTTTCTTTTCCGCATGGCTGAAGACACAGATGAGTGTCATTTAATCGTATGGCGTTGGGCACTGATCAGTGTCACGTTATTTTTGTTCGACGCCACGGCTAGAAGTTAGTGAAATTAGGCATCGCAACGAATCGGTTAATGAAAAAAATTAAAAACAGTCGCCAAATTCGTGAATCGTCGTCTTTCAATCTGTCATCAGTTCACAGAGGATATTTTACACAACAATACCAAAATAGTAATATACAAGAAGCTACAAATTCTATTAGTACAAACATGAGACTTCTCTTCAAAGTCCAGCCTCTGTAGAATTAACTACAGCAGCTTCTCTTCAAAGTCCGTCTTCTGTCGAATCCTGCTATTCTAACTACACGGATATTGATTACAATGTCTTTTAAAACGAAACACGAATATACCATAGTAAAATTGGTCAAATTTTTATATTTTTTTAATTATAATAATTAACATTAATAAAACTTAAATAATCACAACCTGTGTATTTTTATTTGTGTACTTACCTTAAACAGATGGCTAATTTCATTTTAGTAGGTACTAATGCATTTCCGCATATTCGTATTTGATTTTGGTAGGCTTGAATTTTCCAGTCGAGTTAATAACTTTTCAAAACTTTCAACAGACATTCGAAAGTAATTAAAAAACTTTTTTTCATCGTTTCTAAGATTTTCGAATAATTTTTCAAATGTGATCGTTCGCACAGATTCTTGATTAATAGGATGTACCCAAAACCTTCTGTTTTGTCGGCGGCGAGACCGTTGGTGCCTACGATACCAATATAAAAGTACAACCACGCGTGGATCCATCAGTGACGTCTACTCACTGTGACAACTGTGTGAAGACTGCGGTTATTCGTCTTTTACACGAATCATAATTTACCGTGTGAAGACCCGGATGATTGTACGTTAAAAAAACGAATACGAAAAAAACGTGCAGGACAATGCCGTGTGAACGAAGCCTTACGCCGTGCGTCCGTTTGTCCGTCGCGTTTGAGATAAGTAGATGATGCCAATCCAGTACCGCCATTACCATTTGACAGGCCTGCTGGTCTAGTGGTTAGTCGTGGTTAGGTCGTGGGTTCGATTCCCACCCAGGACAAATGTTTGTGTGATGAGCGACGATCATTTTATCTGTGACTGGGTATAATTTATCTATAATATGTACGTATTTAGAAATATATAACTATGTTTATTATTTGTCTAGTACTCATAACACAAGCTCTGCTTAGCTCGGGATTAGATGGCGTTGTGTGATAGTTGTGGAATATTATTATTATTACATGTTTTTTTTTCAGATCATGAGTCTCTTAACATTTCTGGCGAAAGTGAAACACGTCCTTCGAGAACTTTCACAGCTGCACCCAGGTACCAGGAAAGTTCATCATCGAACGAAAATGAAGAACCCTTCTCTCCGGCAGTATCTGAGTATGCACCTAGTTTAAATCCGTCCAGTAGGTCTTCTAGTCCAGTTCAAAGATTTAATATGACAATGTCGTCTTCATTGGTGCGAGATGTTACGATGGCGCAAACGGATGCAAATACTACGCCGCCAACGAGATCAGAAAAACTTTTCCATTTTAGCACTCCTTCTAAACATCACCATAGTATTGATTTCATTTGTTCTCCTACTATAATTTCAAAGCTAGTAATAATGATAACAGTGTGGATACATTGATGGTATTCACTCAATATTAGCGGGAGATAATTGTAATAGCGTAACAGATTTATGTATCAATCAATCAATCAATCAATCAATCAATCTTTACAATTATCTAATTCTTCAAACAGTTTACCATTAAACTCTGTGTACGAGCATACGCCGCGATGAAACCATGTCTATGACAAATCTAACTGAGACCTACATACCAATAGAACCAGTTGCAATTAACAGTGACCTAGCAGAGATTAACAATATTAGTGATGATGATGAACGAGTTTATTTAAATTTAACTGTAGCGAATCAAATTGACAACGTAGAATATAATATTAACCCACAAATATCTAGTATTACAGATATTACGCAACCTAGTACTAGTATTGCTTCTGAAATATCCTATTGCAATAATCATAATGCAAATACTAATATTACTGCTAGGTCTTCTCATGCGACGACAA